ACAGATGGCCTTAATCGCCGAAAGCATCTTTTTAAGAACAAAAGACACCTACAACCGGTAGCGCTACTTTTACCTAAATTAAAAAATCAATACGTCAGCCACAATGCATGGTCGTTTATCACTTCGTATTATTCTGTTGTGGCAGTTTAATAAAATTCATTTGTTATCTGTATTTCATTATTAATAACCATTTTTAAATTATTTTTTTTTAATTTAAAAAAGAAAACATGTAGTAATGCAAGTATAATGACAGTTTTTTGTAAAAAAAAAACATTTATATAACTATAATAAAAATTTTATATAACTATTCTACTACTCGGGGCGATTCGTTGCTTTTTAAGGTTTAATTTATTCACCAAACAAAAAATAATCTGGGGAAAAATGGATTTTTACTGCACACGATTTAGCAACATGGCCAGTATGTCCAGTGAAAGTGAAAATAAATAAATAAAAAACTAATTTAAACCATTCACTAAACAAACATTGTACACTTGATTTAATTAAGAAGAAAATAGTGATAAAAATGAACGTAATGTAAAACTAGCTGTCGCCCGCAACTCCGTCCGCGGAATTTTAAAAAAAAAATGAGTAACCTATGTTTACTTCAAGTCTATGATCTACATCTATACCAAATTTCAGAGAGATCTGTTGAGTCGTTTTGGAGATACTTTCAAACAAACATCCTTCCAACAGTTATATGAGTCCAACTTACTCGTACATTTGATAAATACGTCAATTAGATGTAATTGAAACAGTTGGATCAATAAGACGAAGGTTAGAATGCAAATCGTGCCACTGGAAGAATATAAGTAAAGGTGAGTTTCCACTGTCTCTGATTCTTATGACAGCTTCAGACTGACCACACTCAACGTAATATATAGTCCGTGTATCTTACTCGGACTGACGGATCGGTAAGTACGGTGTCATCAAGTTGGTGCTGAATCAAGCACAATGGAAACTCGCCTTAATACAAACGAAGGTTGTAACAAGACAATAAGATAAGGGACTGTAGAGAAAAAAAAACAATTATAATGATACATAAGGTCTTAAGACACGACATTTTCGATATAATATATATGTTTACGAAGTGGATTTAGGTCATGTGCATAACATGATTCAATGATACGTAATATAAATTACAATTGGCTATTGTTTGAAATTAAACCCAACAGCATAATGATTAAGAGTAAGAGCATCTGATCACGCGGTGAAAGTTCTAATCAAACCATTAGACTATTGTCGTACACCTTATCTTCGTAAGCCTAGACTTTAGTTGGAATGGTATACACTTGTTCCAATATGGAATATATTTTCAACAAAATGAAAGAACGCAAAGGTTTTTTATCGTAGTTTTATCGAGATTTCTTTTCAATTCTGAAGTTATGTAGATATTTTTCTATTTATGATGATAATTTATGTTTATAAAAAAATATTCATTTACGATTTTTTTTTTCAACCACAAACAAATACCTGATATTGATATTGTGGTTACTAGAAATTTGATACTGTGTTTGTTACAATGAACAGTTGTTATAATAAACTGGCGATCGCCCGCGACTTCGTCATTATAGAAAAAAGTAGTAATATATGCCTGCGCACATAACCCGCCTTCATGTTAAAATCAGCTAAATAGTTTCTAAGATTACCCGGAATAAACGCGTATTTGGGGACAAACTGACAAATAGATTAAAATTTAAAAAATTGGGTTTCCGATATAATCAACGAAAATACATTTTTTTTTGTGTATATTTTAATATTGCATACGGACATTAATTTTTTTTAATTATATAGATTGATAGATACTAAAAATAATAATTTTTTGCTGAAAAACTTACGTCAAGAACTCTAAAATCAAGTTGTTTTATTTTTATGTAAATCAGTTTAATTAAAGAAAAGGTAATTAGTAGTTTGTTGTAATGTTTCGTAACTTTGGGTTTCCACATCCGAGACCTGTACAGAAACAAATTATTATCTCTGTGTATTTCAAAGGGTATGAAAGAGAAAAGACAACATATACATGTTTCAGCGGAAACACGGTTACCGGTCAATGCAAAGTTACAATTTAATGTGCATTTATATCTCTTAATTTCCATTTAAAGAATGTGTTTACAACTTAAAGTAGTACGGTATCAAATATACAACATCAATCTTGATTATACCAAGTTAGTAGATTGTAAATAATTATAAAAATAATGTGTACAGATAAAAGATAATTCCACCTTTCACTTCAGTTATCGAACATTCTAGTGTTACTCGTACTTTATCATTATTCATTGATAATAAGATAAAGTCAAACAATAGATATTCCCTTAAATCCTATATCCAACCACATATGATTAACTTTTACGTTTTGAAGTAAAAATAAGTATCGTTCACTATCGTAATACAACCCAGTAAAAGTATGTTTACATTGTTTATCAAGTGTCGATGGCCTTTCACAACCGTTGATTTTCACTACCGAAACAATCACACAATAACATATCGTCATGCTTCTTACTCCCCTTTTAGTATATGAGATAGCAATATATTTTTATAAAGATATCCTAGCATTAGAATTCCAAGGTAAAATGTCCAATTTTGCGTAGTTTTTTTTATTTATAGGCGACGTATACTCACGATAGTGCCATTACTAATTGCCGCGATAAGAAATTATTCATATTAATTACTTATCTATCTTCATTTTCACAAAACGATCAAAGTTTATAAACTAGACTTGGGTTGATAACAATTCGCGTGCCGTCTATCAAATTGTCATGACGAAGGCATGTTAATACAAAGTATAGTGACATTCAAACATTACACCCGCTTGCAATTTTACACGAAACGGTATCTAGAATAAAATCAAGGCGAAAAAAATTAACTGGCGAGAAGTATTCGTATACATGGCGGGGCATATCTTTGGGCAGGCTTACTTCTAACCGTAGTAGTCCTACCTGCACATATGTTTATGTATTTATATGCACCCGCAGCCAACTACGAGCCGGTATAAATTTTGAATCTTGTAATACTAACAATTAGACCTGCGGTGCGGTGTACGCGGGCGACGTGCTTTGCGTGCCAATGGTCAATAAACCACCATTAAGGTGCATCCCATGATCCGAACATATGTTTTAAGAATACGTCAACCTTCTTCAACAAATAGTATCAAATTCCATCTACAGCAAAACGATAGTTGGCATTCCAGTGATACGATTTTTTCGCGTAATCTTCTAAAAACCTATTTACATAAAAAAAAACAATTGTACTTTTTTAACTTTGTATTTATCTTATAATTGCTGTTTTTTTACCCAATACTGCTTGGACAATATACCATCTAATAAAAAAATCCTTAGACCCCCCCGTCTATAAAGAAACCACTTCACAAATGCAATTCATTTGATAATATTCGTAATAGATTGCGGCACAACATAGGGAATGAACTGCGTCAAAATAGATAAGAGATATCACAACCAGTAGTTAGATTATAACACTTCGAGTCCACAGTTCGATTCTATTTAAATTCATTCATCTAAAAAGTTACGACACTCCGGATAAAAATACGCATAGAACACCATGTATTAAAATCAGAATTCGATAAGTTATAGGAAAAGAGGTAACAAAGAAATGGATTCATACATGTAGTCGAAAAAATTTACGCGTCGAGCAATATATTTTTTTACTGCATGAATGAAGACGACTCATAACCACATAAATCTTATATATAAAATTCTCGTGGCACAATTTTCGTCTATACTTCTCCGAAACGGCTTGACCGATTCTCATGAAATTTTGGGAGCATATTGAGTAGGTCTTATAATCGGCCAACATCTATTTTTCATCCCCCTAAATGTTAATTTTTTTTAATTCCGCGCGGACGGAGTTGCGGGCGACAGCTACTAACTTTATAATATTTTTCATTCGGTTCCTATTATTGTATACCTATATAAAATTCAAAATGTAAGATATTTTAATATTAACATCCACTTGGTTTACGATTAGTTGCATGTAATAGAGGAAGTTATTGGAATCATTTAAGAATAGTCTATTATTAAAATGAAACAACTGAGAAACGTGCCGTTTGTCTGACATACATCTTTAAACTTATATCAATGTACCTGTATATGAATGAAAAATAAGGAATAATTCACAAGATTTGTTGGTATCAGGGGAAATTTACAAAAGGTACACCCCGCTTATGAATTGGCAAATAAGCAACCTGAGACTTAACTACGCTAAAATACCGATCGTCTTTTTGGTAATGTTTTTTCTTCCTTTTAGAGACAGAAAAGAGTACAGGCCTTACATAGTTATTCCTTCCCCTGCCAAAGGTACAATCATTTCCTATCTAAAATTGGTCCTAACAGTAAGTTCGATTGTTTGCGAAAGCGATTACCTCTACTAGATAAATTCTTAGTTTTCTGTACCTACCTCAAACAGTTTAGAGTACTTGAGATTTTTGTTGCATTTTGAGTATTGTTAAACGTGACAATAACGTTTTAAATTAGTGTTGATTGTGGAATTTTAAAGTGTGTCACGAAATTGTCTTAAATCTATCACGTCACTACAACGAAGTAAAAATATCCAACGGCCGAGCAGTACCTGACTGCTTCGTTTCGCGCGTTAGCTATAATTTTCCGCCGTGCATTTTAGTGTCGTTCTAATTACCTACTTACAGTATACACGATAGTCTACGTGTAATAATAATAAATATCATATTTTATTATTATCTTTTATTAAATTTATTTAGGAAATATCTAAACATGGAATAAACAATTTAAAGAATAATATACTAACGAATACTAATAACTAAATATTGGCAATGCAATAATTAACATACAGGTTTGAAAAGAATCTTAATGATACTCGCTTATAGGTATGGTAGGTAATTAAAATCAAATACTTTTTGCTGCAAAAGCTATACGATATATTACATTCTGAATTACTGAAGAACTTAACAAAACTTTATTTAAAAATATGTTTAAATATCCGTATTAATAAGACAAATGAATGTGGATACTCACACTATTGCAACATGTACAGGTGATAGAAGATAAAAGCGGCCTTCTTAGGCAGCTGCAAGGGAACCGGACCAACACTTTAATTCTCGCACATCATCCAGGTTCTCAAACTGCCAGGTAACAAGAACCAAATCCGAAATTTGTTCGTCACCTCACTATCACAAACCGTAAGAACGTGCTCCTTTCACTGTTACACCGAACGGACACCAGAATACCAACCAACCTTATTGCAAGTTGTCGTAATTCAATGCGATCGGTCGCATAGATTACAATTTATTTAATCTGAGTAATGAAACGGGTTGAAATAAGTATTTTGATGATATAAGAAGCGGGTTTCTGTCATACTCTAATATTATTTGTTTACAGCGATGACGGTCTCCGACTGATAACGTCACGTACACAGAAAACACGTTCTTAATCCGCGCCGGTCGGCGACCGACTGAACTGAGCGGCAGGCGGCAGAGCGCTGCGATCGTAGCCCGGGCACTTACGACCTTACGACTGAACATTATCGGAGCGGTCCGACTGCGCACGAAGCAGCCCCTACTCAAAACTTGATTCTTCAAAGTAAAGATTTCACATTTTACAAATGCTTTTATAATAATAGAATCAATTTTCATCCATAACATTTAAGTGTGGTTTTATTATTTAGCTCTAAATGCATAAACGCATTAATACAACAAAAAGCATCTATTACTTTTAATCAATAGTGTTTGGTTACCTATTCAAGCAATTTGAAGTTAGCTCTTCTACTTTAAAGAGTTACTTTCTCCCGCGACTCCGTCCGCGTGCACCGTCCAGCATTTATTCATCCGTACCAATCCAAACATTCGTATTTATAATATTAGTAAGTTTTTACATTATTAGTTTATTACCCCAAAGACGTAAATAAAATTTTCCACATCTCCATGACCTAAATGACTTTGCGGTGACGTTGATGGCGTGACGATGATGAGAAAAACGAACGCGCGTTACGAAAATTACATGCTTTTGTTACACATAATTATAAGTATAACCATAGATTTAAATTCACTACCCACTTAGGATCGAATATCGTTACCACGCTTGTTTAGCACGCTTTGTTAAGTTTTCGTCCTAATTGCATTGTGAAATTTAAATGACATTTGCCGAAATGGATAGAAAATAAAGGTCCTCCACTATGTAAAAGCTATTAAAAATTTGACGCATTTATCTAATTAATTCATTAAGGACTTTTTTTAGTACAACTGAAATATATTTCTTTTATTTAAAGGTCGCTAAGAATATGTGTTTAAAATAGTTTGGAAGTACACTTACAGTCGTCAAATTTAAAACAGAGAACCCTTAAAATTGTCATCTCAGTCTATTCATAGCCAAGTCACGACAGACATAAGATTTTTATCAACGGTGGCTAGAAATACAATAAACATAGACGTAAAAAAATGCAACTATTTTATATTTAAGTAATTCATGCTATCAATTGAAACTACGTCCATATAAAAAAAACTTTTATTCAAACGACAATTTTGCTTAATATTATATTTAAAAACACTTCTCAACAATATTTTAGCCATTTTTAGAGTTCCCTATCTCGAAAGGGAAAAACCGGAACCCCTATAGTATCACTTTGTTGTCCGTCCGTCTGTCTGTTTAGTCAAAAGGGTCTCAGGGACGCGTGAAAGTATCAAGCTTTTATTTAACAAAAAATGAACAAAAATTTGTACAATTTATATTCACGAAATGGTTCTCACGGTTATAAAGCTAATTCTCAGTTTAATATCCCCATAAAGCTTGTCAAATGTAAAACATTACAACCTTTGTCAACTCAGAGCATGCAAACGACTTACCTCTTTACGTTGAAGTACCGCAAATTAAACACTGAGATTTAACCAAATAATAAATGACCAAGGAATTCTCATCATATACCTGCGGTTCTTAAACTTTTTTGCCTACGGAACCCTTTTGAGAAAAGATGTATTTGACCCTTCAATCTTGGTTTGAATTTTTTACGCCCTAGAATAAAGGCCCATTAACACGATCCGAGATTCTTGCCTGTTGCAGACAATTAAATGTAAGCAAAATATATCTTATATAGTCTTAACAACAGTAACAAATATTTATGGTAAATTGAAATTGTGTTCAATTGTGCTTATAAATCGGCACCAATTTATCGAACACCTCAATACATACTAATTATTAAAAATGTTGTTTCTCTGTCCTTCCGCAAACCTGCGATTTTGGGACCAGAAGAAACATGTAGACTAACTAGTGGGCAAGAGTGGTTGTCTTGTCAGTTTTTAAAATAATATACTTTATATTGTTAAGAAGATAATCCGAAAATGTGGCAGTGTATTAACCCAATACTAGCCTTATTAAACTGTCAACGTTTGTGTCCCCGCACTATTCATTCTGACACTGGGCTTTGTAACGAAAGCACGTCATTTGCGCCAAAGCATTCTAACTAATAATGTCTATATATAATATGTAAAAGTAAACTTATATAAAAACGGCTAAATACTCACGTATTTTCGTCGGGTACCGCCACCAGACGAATATATTATACGTTTTTATATAAGTTTATTATAATGCCTGATGAAATTTTGAATAATTTAAATATAAAAATATTATTATTTACATTATGTATTTAAGATTATTAAGCTATGTGTAATTAAAACGAAGTAAAACATCGTTAAATACGGAGCTTGTTATGTGTATATGATCTCATAAAATCCGTAATCACTATCAATGGCTCGTGATTATCATTTTTATACCACCACGTTTGAATTACAAACGTAAAAAATTACGACCATACCCTATTAGCTTAATAAACTGGAAAAAAGCTATGAGGAATTTTATTCGACCTTCAGGTACAAAGAAATATTGGTTACTCTATTCTATTTTTCAAATAAAGCAATTTTATAAAGCTGACGATGTGAACGAAAGGGGTAATCAGATGTTTTTGTACAAATTTTGTGCAAATGTTTCTGCGATCTAAACCCTCAGTAAAACATAGATGTTTCAGTGTATATTATTTTAAATTTTACATAAGAATGTTTGCTTCTGAATTTTTTTTATATTGTAAAAACGAACTCTTTTACTATTATGTAAAGGTGACACCGCCATCGTCAAATTATCATTTACAATATTTTTATACAAAAAAAATCGTGGTGATGATTTTGCAGCCTTTGATGCCTCTGCTGCAGTAGCGGAACACTGACGATGTTGGTCGTAATCGTGTCGGTCGCTATAACCGGGTACAGTAAGACATGTCACTATAGGCGAGTCGTATCTGACTATGTTAAAAAAAATATATGGAAACCAAACTTGCTATGTAATGATAATAAGCTGTTGGTCAATATAAGCGGTGTCATAATATAGATATTTTACTATATAGTATATTAGTTAACTAAGCTGTTTTAATAACCTTCTATAATATAATAAGTTAAAGTTAAATGCTACTTATAAAAACAGGGTTTGAAAAAGTTGTTCTTCACGTACGTATGTATCTACACAAAAAATCGCGAACACAAACCATCTAACAAGTTGACTTGTTCACTAATGTTTCAAGTTTTTGCTTATTTTTGATAAATTCTAAACAATTTTTTGTTTTATTGCAGGTTAAAGATCGAAGCTAAAATTTTACATAAAATAAGTATTGTTTGAATTTTAACAGAATTCAAAAACGTGGTTCACAATAAGATTGGTATTTTTACGTCATTTCCGAATATTACATTCAGTATGACGCAAAATGTTTTATTTTATGTTGCTTTAACAATTAACTAAATCTGCAAGACTTGTTTTGTACATGTCAGCTATTGTGTAACTACAAATCTTTTAATTTCAGGTCACAATTATTCATTTAAATACTTCGTCATTTATTCTTATACATATTGACCATAGTTTTCTTATTTATTCACAAAGAAATTATTAAGTGGAATGAATTCTTTGTATTAAATAAATTCGGGAGTACTTTAACAATATTCGTTACATTTAAGTAATAGGAGTTTCTAGAGCGATTTTATAAAGATGGCTGTCATCATTTTCACATAGATGATGGTCATAGAGGTTGGCAAATGCACGGGGAAGTACAATTGCTTGGGCGCTAGTAATTTTAATGTTTTATTAATGTTTAGTAAAGAAAAAAAAATATTCCACAGAGATTCTGTACATAATAAATAAGAATGTAACTTCATATCCCTGTCAAATAATACTTTAACTTAGATTTCAAATACAAAAAAAGTTTAGATGGATGGATGGATAGATAGATGTTTGTTTGAAGGTATCTCCAGTATGGCTGTATGGATCTCGCTGAAATTTGGGATAGATATAGAACATATTCTGGAGGAACATATAGGCTACTTACTTTTTAATACCGCGCGGACGGAGTCGCGGGCGACAGCTAGTATTTATATAAAACTTATTATTATCCTTGTCAGCATCTTTAAAAAAAACAGAAATAACAATATCTTTTAAACGGGGATCGTGGTCTCCAAAACTGACGGTAAGTTAACGAGAATGCCTAAATTTATATTTTTAGTACAAATGATCAAGTTATTAAACTTATTTCTTAAATACGGTATGGTTTTTCCGTTTTTACACTGATAAATTGTTTAACTTACTCATTTAGAATTACTTTGAAAGACAAATAACAATGTGACCTTAAATTTACTAGGAACTATTCTCAGATAGCATAATGTTAGGTTTATTAATTGCGGTTAGCTGATATACGATTGAGGACCGGTTTTAAGCTTCGATTAAAAAAATCTTTGAACTTCGATTATAATAACTATTTAATATAAGACTAGCTGCTTCTGGAAACTTCTTCCGTGTGGAGTTTAAAACTCCAATCTAATTTTCATTCCCTCTTTAGTGTTTTATAAGGACAGTTTGAAAAAAGCGTATATTTATTTTATTTTATATTATATTAATTATGAATTTTCAAAAATTTCTGCCGAATGAATAACACCACTCCATACAAATTTTCTTTCATCTGTTTAGACTTTTAGGGGATGAATTAAGCAAAAGGCTTTCAAAGAACTACGTAGTATATAAATTCCATGAAACTATAATACTGAGGATTCTAGATAAGGTAATATAAAAAAATTCTATAATAAAATACAAAATAAAAATGTTAATAAGATTTTTTGCATGACTTACGTGTACCATAAACATATGTTAGCAATGGAAATAAACAGGGTAACAGTTAATGTGGTTGTAAATATACGTATAGTGTTATTAAAATTGAATTTATCATTTCTGTCGATCACAATAACGATAATTACAGCTCCGGAGAAACCGCAAGTAAACACGTTGAATGGGCAAATGTCGCGCGACTCATTTACCCATTCGACGTGTTGACTACATGTAAACACTATCTGTACATTTTGATCGAGTTTAATAATAATTTTACAGATAATAAAACTTAATCCTTATTTTTGGATGATTATCTAACGTTGACAATTATTCATGCATTCATTCAGCACTTGACCGCGACTTAGTCCGCGCGGAATTA